AAAAAAAAAAAAAAAAAAAGGGGGGGGGGGGGAGAGAATAGTATTTTAGGGAAAGGAAAAAGTGTATACTAATATTCAGAGGTCAAAGAGAACATGGCATATTTAGGAATGGCATTCTTTAAGACTGGAGCAGAGTACAAGGGGGTGAGGAGTATATTCTAATAATCCCCTGTATATGTAGAGCACTTTATAGCTCTCAAATAGATATTGGTTTTGAGGAAAATGAGAAAGAAAGTTTGGTGGAAAGTGTGCATCTCATCATGTTATTTCTAACTTGCTTTATTTATATGATTATTATTAATGTTTGTGAAAATATGTGAAAATTTCTGGAGAAAATAAGGCATTTTGTTCCCCCTCACTTATCCAGATAGGTTATTGAAAAAAAAAAAGTAAAATGAAAAGGGTCTTTCTTCTACTAACCTCTTCACTCCCAGTGTTCCTGGCTTCAAAACCTTCATTGCTGGGGTGCATGCATGAGCGTGCATAAGTGTTCATGTCCCCACCAAAAAAAAAAAAAAATTCTTTGTTGACTGCCAAAAAAAAAAAAAAATTCTTTGTTGACTGCCAAAATCTGAAACCCAAGGTGTCCTTTGAGAGTCTAAAGTTCCTTGTGATCTGTGGTGTTCTCCAGGTGAGGGGCCCTTCCCTGGGATCATCGATCTGTTTGGAAGCGGTGATGGCCTTTGTGTATGCAGGGCCAGCCTCCTGGTGGAGCATGGTTTTGCTGTGCTTGCTCTGGCTTATTTCAGATTTGAAGACCTCCCTGAATATTTGAAAGATATGCATGTGGAATACTTTGAAGAAGCTGTGGACTTTATGTTGCAGCATCCAAAGGTGGGTTCTGGTGCTTACCTGAATGCAGAGGAGAGGGGGTTGAGCAGACACAGGGCTGGATCCAAATGTCCTACCAGGACACTGGGGACTAGAAATATGCCAGGAGACACAAAGGCTCCTTCAAAAGTTACTAGGATTATTATTTCCATTTCTACCCATCTCTTTCCAATCCCTTAAGTCTTGACTATTTGTAATTGTTTACCATAATTCAGAGAGCACTAAACTAAAAAGTTACTAATCTTGAGTTCTGGTTCTACATCTACCATAAAGTGGCCTTATGATCCTGAATAAGGCAATGGACCTCTCCAGCATTTAATTTTTCTCACTTATAAGATTAATGTAAATATGTAGAGGGAAAATTTGACTATAAAGAGACATTTCTGAGACATTTGAATTGGTGACATTTGAATAGGATGGGTGTTTTTAATGATATTAAGGAATCATTATTAACTTTTTTCTTTTGGCGGCTGGCCAGTACAGGGATCGAAACTTGGACCTTGGTGTTATCAGCATAATTATTAATTTTAAGTGTGATAATGGCATCATGGTTTGTAAAGAAAGTCCTTATCTGAGAGCAGAAAAAAAATTAATTAAAACATTTTGGTACAATTATAAATGGAATGATACATACTCTTTGCTACCATCTAGATTTAAAGAGACCCACACTTTCTAATGTTAAGGAATAAGATGTTCTTCAAGGTCTACAAGATGGTCTAACCTTGTTAGAGTTCAGGGACTGGTGTCTTAGGAGGTCTTGAACTGTGATGGCTGTTCTTTTTTTTAGGAGAGATAAGGCCCTTGACCTTTAGTTTTATTTTTTTTATTTTTAGCCCTCCTTTGGCTGGACCCCTGCCTCCAGGGTGAGGAGTCTGAGGGGCCAAGGGAAGGTGTCCATCTGGAACTCATTCTTCCTCCCTCACCCCCAATGCCCTTGGGATCTGGAACTCCAGAATTCTCTGTTTTTATTTTTTGTCTTTTTGTCTTTTTTCCGTGTCCGGCAACGGGTCGCAACCCTCAGTGTTGCCCCCGTACCGGACCAGGGACCGGCAACGGGATCGCAAGCCTCGGTGTTGCTCCCGCGCCTCACTCAGCCAGTGAGCGGGAGCCGGTCTGTATATGGGATCCGAACCCTCGGGCGGGAGCGCCACCGCGCTTCCCAAGCGGCGCACTATCCAGTGCACCACCGTGACCTTTAGTTTTAGATGACCATCCTCTGGCCCTCCTTTGGCTGGACCCCTGCCTCCAGGGTGAGGAGTCTGAGGGGCCAAGGGAAGGTGTCCATCTGGAACTCATTCTTCCTCCCTCACCCCCAATGCCCTTGGGATCTGGAACTCCAGAATTCTCTGCCAGACAGCTCTGATCCTGCTTCTAGGCTCTATGCCTCTTCTCTGGGTCCATCAGCATGTACATACATAGGCCTTAAAAATGCAGGCTGTCCACACACATGTGTGAGAGGCCTCTCAAGGCACATGAAAGAGCCAGGGTTGGGAAGAGAACCCAGGGTGGGCCAGGGTCCAGTGACTGGCTCTCCCCCATGTCACATCCCAGGACAGAAATCCAATGAGTTCCAAGATTTTAAATTTGAGCCTGACCTTTCAAGTTGTTATAATGGTATATTTATCAAAATAGAAGAAAAAATGTATTTTATTTTTTATTTGATTTATAACTTTTAAATATTTAGGTATAGGGTGTATGGGCCACTGTGTGCACTCTTTTTTTTTTTTTTTCTGGGTGGCTGGCTGGTACAGGGATCTGAACTCTTGACCTTAGTGTTATAATACTGTGCTCTAACCACCTGAGCTAACCAGCCAGCCCTTGTGTGTATTCTTGACCCAGTTCTCATAAATATTAGGGGATGGCCTGTGTACTAAGAAATAGATTGATATGCTTATTAGAAGATACACATGAACTTTGTAGATTGTTGCATAAAGAAGGAAAGCCAATGGTATTTGAGAAAACTACTTAGAGAATATAAAATCACTGTATATGTCTTTCATTTATAAATTCCAGGTTTGTTCTCTCTTTCTCTCTCTTTTCATCAGGTAAAAGGCCCTAGCTGTTGGGCTTCCTGGCTTCTCCAAAGGAGGTGACCTGTGTCTCTCGATGGCTTCTTTCTTGAAGGGCATCATAGACACTGTACTTATCAATGCCTGTGTGGCCAACACAATGCTTCCTCTGCATTACATGGATGTGATTATTCCTGGTCTCAGCCATGACCCAGGGAAAGGAAAAATCACCAAGTCAGGCGTTTTGAAATTGATGGATGTTTGGAACAATCCACTGGAGGAACCCAACCACCAAAGTCTTATTCTGCTGGAAAAGGACGAGGGGCCCTTCCTGTTTATTGTTGGCATAGATGATCATACCTGGAAGAGTGAATTCTATACTTATATAGCCTCTGAATGGTTACAAGCCCATGGGAAAGACAGACCCCAGATAATCTGCTACCCAGAAACTGGTCATTGTGTTGACCTACCTTATTTTCTTCCTTCTAGAGCTTCTGTACATGCAGTTTTTGGCAAAGTGGTATCCTATGGAGCTGTGCCAAGGGCTCATTCAAGGGCACAGGTGAATGACTGGCAGCAAATTCAAATTTTCTTCCATAAACAGCTCAGTGGTAAAAAACCTGTCAAGCACATCAAGGCATAACATTGCGATCATAGGCCAGATATCATCAGTAAAACAATCCTGTTTATAAAACTTGTGTTGGGTACCTAGGAACCTTTTTGTAACAAAGCAACCAGCTCGGCTTCCTTGTCAGGTCCTACTGGATTCTCAGCCTTTGCAACCCTCCTTCCTTCACTGCTGGGTCCACCCCTCTCTCTCCTGAACTTTACCCAGTTATAGGCTTAATCCTGATCTTATCTGTAGGACTGATCTTAACCTTAAGTAAGAGAAATGTAAGAAGTGTTTGCCCAAATCTCAGTTGCTGGGCCTGTGGCCCAATTCTGAGGCCTGAGCTTCGGTATTGCTCAGAAGTCTCATATCCCCTTTGGCCCTAACTGACCATGTCTGAACCTTGGGAAACACCCACTCGAGTCCCTTAAGGAATGTACCCTGCCTCATCCTTGTCAGTACACATTGTGGAACATTTACTCAAGACTTGTTCCTGAACCCCAGTCTGAAGATTGGGAGCATTGTACCTTACCTGTTGATATACTTCCTTTGTGTTCTCCATCTGTCTGGATTCCCAGTTACTATATGGTACTGCATGCCTAGAGGAATGCCTTGATGCCAACATTTTCAGAACTATACCCTGTGGGTCACGACCTTCAACATTGGATGTCATGCTATACCTGCCAAATCAGACTTCCTTGTAACACCATCTACTCCTATTACCTTCCTACTGGGAAGGACTGAGACTGGTCTGCCTCAGCCCACTGCAGTGTACTGGGCACTATCTAGAGTCATAAGAGACAAGAGCAAAGGGACTTCCCTGGCCACAAGAAAGTTCTTCTGAGACTTTAGGGCACATCCATGGTTTTCTGGGCACAGACAAAATCTTTCACTACTTTGATTCTATCCAAGCAAATGCTCATTAGATCTTAACTAATGAAAAGAAAGATTCCTTAGAGGTAACATAATTTCGACCAATTGTTAAAACTCTGTATTGAGTGCAGTCATTCACCATGTAGTATAATTTTCTATGATGTTAATTCTGAGAGCCTTTGCTTTAACTCTCCTGCGATAGGAGATTGCAGTGAGAAAGAAAAGTCACCTGGAACAATCTGAGCCATTCGAGGTCTGCTAAACTTATCCGGCCCAGAGAGATATAAGCATGGGACTTCATTCACGTCCCCCTCACCCATGTCCAGAAAAATTGCCAAAGCCATGTTTTAGCAGTAATATCCAGACTAGCTGCTATCACCACTGGGTATAAATCATCAAAATGTTATCACAAGTTACACAATGTGACCCTTAGTCTTTTTTCTTGCAATGTTCAGGAACTTATGACACAAAGAAAAATGTATAGCCAATCAGTAGCTTGTGTTGTTTTAGTAAACTAATGTAAATTCTTAGCAAACAACTTTGGAACTGCCCCCTTAACTTCTCCTTTTCCTTTAAAATTCTGTAACTTGGAAAACCAGGCAAAGGTTCACAGGATCTCGCCGTATTATTTCTCACAACTGCCTGTAAGTCCACAAAGATGTCAAAATAAATAGTTTTTTTGTTTGTTTGTTAAAAAAGAAAAGTCTGTCATTGCTGCCGGGTGGAGCACATATTCAGGACAACTTGAATTTGTGTTTCCTGGGCTGCAGTTCCCAACCTTGGCCCAAGTAAACTCATTGTTTTATATATTTTTGCCTCAGTTTCCTGAGAGCAGGAAGAAGTTATTAGGAAAGTGGTTGGGAGGATGAGAGAAGTGAGGGCTAAAAAGGTAGCCACAGAACCCAAGCATGAGGATAATGACTAGACATCTCTGTGTACTGAAGAACTAGGGTGGGAGAACCCTAGACCTCAATTTTTTCCTTACTGATAAAACAGTCTAGAAATGCCCTACCCTGGCTAAATATATTTGGTCACTTTGCCCTCAGAGTTGACTATATGTGGCCACCTGTCTCCGAGATTTCTGTTTCAAAAAGAATTTCAGCTTACAAAGCTATATAACACATGGACCTCAATTTTTTCCTTACTGATAAAACAGTCTAGAAATGCCCTACCCTGGCTAAATATATATGGTCACTTTGCCCTCAGAGTTGACTATATGTGGCCACCTGTCTCCGAGATTTCTGTTTCAAAAAGAATTTCAGCTTACAAAGCTATATAACACATGGTAAAACAATATGAATTAGAAGGGAGAAAAAGATATTCATAATATGGAGCCAGAAATGAGGCTAATGTAATAATGCTTATTATGAAATCCTATACACTTGCCTCTACTGGGCCATACTTCAGCCATGCATTTTCTAGTGGTTTATGCACAGAAGAAAACCTAATTAGTTACACAAAATTGACAGCATTAATAAAATAAAAGCAAAGCTTAGAAATCAATTTCTCCCAAAGACTGTCATGCTAACGAATATTAAGTACTGTAAAGAGTAGCACTGGGCTGGCCAGTTAGCTCAGTTGATTTGAGCATGGTGCTGACAACATCAAGGTCCAGGGTTCCATCCCTGAACCAGCCAGCAGTAAAAAAAAAAAAAAAGAAAGAAAGAGTAGCGTCCTAAAGGATGCCTCTACATTACACGCAAATCCCAGACCCCACCACTTACTGTGTGATCTTGGGTAAGATATTAACCTCTCTAAATCTCCATTTCCCCATCTATAAAGTGTCCAGCTGCCAAAAACAAGCAAAACAAACAAACAAACAAATACATGTGCCAGGCCACAGGACGATAGGGCTTATTTCCTCAAGGTATGTATCTGTAGTTCAACTTTCCAATGAAAAAGCAAATTTTGTGCTCCCTCATTCCCTCTGTCCCATCTGGGCTGGTTTTAGGGCTTTGTGGGCATTCTCTCCACTAGTTTCTGTCCTCGTTCGCTACCATTTTATACTTCAATTCCGTGGCTCACCTGAAACGTTTAAGCTTTAACTTTGTCTTAATACGGGGCAAAGATTATTTCAAGGGAGGAAACGAATTTGGACAGGAGCCTAGCACACGTGGCCTGCTTCGATCTGTCTTAGGAAACAGTGTCCCCTGGTGGCCAGTGAGGGATTTTAGCGAAGGTGACGGGCCAGCATTTTCTGTCAGAAATCATTAACTTCTCATTCTGGAAACGTCGAGGAATAGACTCGCGTAGAGATCCTGTCTCTTTCAGGCGGGCACACACCGCGGGCCTCCTAAGTCGTCCCTTCTTGCAGCCCTTCTCTTTGCTAAGTGGCGCCCAGGGGCCAACCCAGGTTGATCGCGAGGCCCTGCAGGATTTTGCCTCACAGGTCCATGCTCTGCCCTGCGGTGTCCTTATCCTGAGCGCTGACCACGTCTATTAGACCCTTAAAATAGTTTAACCCTTGGTTGGTTTACTGAGGATTTTGGTCACTCCAACTGTATCTTAAGTTCATTGAGAAATCAAAGCGCCCTTTAGATTTAGGTGTCCGTTTTTATAAATGAGGTAACTCAAAGACTGCAGAACTATATGCTTAGATTTATCAGGACTTGTACTTCATCCCAAACACTTTCCACATCTTTGGTGCTAATTTTCATATCTTTTTTCATTTACCAGTGATTTTTTCGCAAGGAAAAAAATATAGAAATATTTTTACACTTACAGCTTCAAAATAGCCCAAATAGAGACCTTTTTCAACCACAACAATAAACCTATTTCAACCAAAACAGATGTTTTCTTTTCACAGCAAATAGGTGTATGTTTTTTAAAAAGGGGGGTAAATTATGCAATTAGAATTTTATTTAGAAAATGTTGGCTGGGTATCATGGCCCATTAAATGTTCTGTCATCTAATCTAAGTTAGTTAACTCCCTTTTCCGGTTTATAGGAGATGGTCCTTTTCCTGATCTGTTTGATATGTTTGGTCATGGAGGATTAAATGAATCTCAAGCGAGTCTCCTGCCTTGTTGAGGTTTTGCTACTCCGGCTTTGCCATTATGGGGCTATGAAAATCGACCTCCAGTCATGAAGGACTTACATTTAGATTACTTGGAAGAGGCAGCTAAATTTGTGCCAAGTTACCTAAAGGTGAGTAGAGGGTAGAGAGAAATGCATTTAAATGAACTCATTAGAGCCAGAAGAGAGTGAATAAAGAAAGTGGAGTCTGGCTGGTTAGCTCAGTTGGTTAGAGTGTAGTGACACCAAGGTCAAGGATCCCCGCACTGACTACCCACCCACCCACACACACACACAAAAGTACTAAAAATATCTGTGACAAATACCTGTTGAATTAATAAATAAGACAGCTATCTGATAAATCCATAAAACCCGTTCATTTTCTGAAGACTTTGCGATCCCATTAACAACAGTATTTTCTTTTTCTTTGTCTCTTTACGTGTTTGTCCTCAGGTCAAAGTTCCAAACGTTGGAGTGACTGGCTCAGGCAAAGGGGCAGAGTCGCCGTTTTCCGTGGTTGGCTTTCTCCCAAATATAGCTGCGACTGTGAGCATCAATGCTGCATCTTTAACACAGCTACTGCCCCTAAATGTGGTAGATTAATTTTGCCAGGACTGCCTTTTAACCTAGACAAAATCTGTGCCACTGATTCAGGAATATACGATGTTAAAGAAGCCCTGGAAAACCCCTTGGATCCAGCCTATCAGAAGAGCCGTATCCCTCTTGTAAACGCCAGTGCCCACCTCCTTTTCACCGTTAGAGAAAATGACAACCATTGGAAGAGCCCTGTTTATGCTGACAGAGCTGTGAAGCACCTCACAGAGCATGGGAACACAGATTTCACTCTTTTAAGTTACTCTGGGCTGGCCAGTGAGCTCGGTTGGTGAAAGTGCAGACTTATAACACTAATGTTATGGTTTTGCATCCTGGTACTGACCAGCCAAAAACAAACAAACAAAAAAATAAGCTACTGTAATGCTGTCCATAGAATAGATCCCTCTTATAGTCCTTTTTTCTCTGTGGCCCTGGATCCCTATTGGGGGTACCTGTTTTGGGACGTGGGCAGCTCATGCTGTTGCTCAGATTGAGTCTTGGAAGAAGATCTTAGAGTTTTTGCACTTGCACCTAGGGTAAAGGCTAACTAGACACTTAAATTTAAATATGCTTCAGGGAAAATTAAGGGACAGACTTTGAATATTTTTGACAAATTATGACTGAGATCTGAATTTCTCATGGGTATCTGCAAGCTTTTAAAAGAAGTAAAAACACTGGATTCAAGTTCGTTAGAGCCTGCAGCTTCAGAACTATCCATGTTTCCCTGTGTTTGATTTGTTTGAGTTT